GTGTGTGTGTGTGTGTGTGTATTGACTGCACTCTCAGCCATATCACTCTTCTGATCACCTCTTATTGTCCCTTGTAACCACCTCTCTCTCTGTTTATGCTTATTGGTAGTTTCTTGACAGGAGAAGAGATAAGATAAACAAGTGAAGTTGTTTGTGAGTCCTTTATCTTGAAGACCAGAAGCTCCAATAGTTACTCATGATTAAAAAAAAAACAACTCCAGATAGATTTAGTAGCCCTTAGAAAATATTTCATTTCAGTCCACGTACATTTAACCTTTTGATTTATGCAATAAATGACAGCAGAAGATAAAATATGTTATCTACTGTTCACAGATTTTCCATTAGCACAATTAAAACCTAAAAAAAAAAAAGACATGTATATGTTTTACTTATTTACTTGATGGTAGTGTAAAGTGATGTGTCACTTATTTGGTGTTCTTTGTGCCAAATAATTTAACTATGAATTTTGCATCAATTTTTTGTAAAAAAAAAAAAAAAATCTTCACTTTTCTTGCTCTATTAAAATAACTTGATTTAAATACCATCTGTTCCTTTGTCACAGGCTTCATACGACCATTTTTAAAGTGTTTTTTGTTACTGCAGGTAAAAATCTCCAAGCTTAAAATGACAGGTATTGAAGGTCTGGATCGTCCAAAATTTAGAGCCTCAACAAAACAAAGGTTTTCAAAGTTAACTTCTTACATTTGCCTGCAGGAGTTCGTAAAGCGTAGCACTGACTGTTGTGACTGGTTGTTGAGGCAGTGCAGCCACTCCACTGATACAGCGCTGCAGTACTAGAAAAAAGCATATGAAGGCACAATTCTTAACACCCGAGTGATATTTTGTACAAAAATGCATTTACACACAGTAAGAGTGACCTGCAGCAGAGGAAAGACTGAATAAATGATCTCCTTTGTCAGTGTAAACATCTTTTATATCTGCAGTGGCATTTAGGGTGTGTTGTTATATACCAGCTGAAGCTCTGAGCTGTCCAGCGACCCATGTAGGCAGGTTGCAGACTGTCATAACACCCATTGCAAACTCACAGCCGCTTAGCCAACCAGTTAGGCTGAACATCAGTCTGACAGTCTCACTCTGGAGACACCCCAGGGTTCAGCCCATCTCACCTACCTGTCTGCTACTGGAAATTACTGCAGTGTTCCAGTGTACATGTGCGTAATGTACAAGAAGCTTTTGTACTGTGTTTTCCCAAAGTGCCCCTCCACCCCTTGTGTCGGTGCGTCTCTGAGATTCAGAATGTCGGCAAATAAACTCCGTGTGTGTGTGTGTCAAGGTGACAGGCTTCTGTGTCCTCAGAGAATGTGGTAATAAGTACAGTTGACGGCCATGTCAGGAGGTAGTGGGTGTCAACAGATAAAAGCGTTTGTATTTAAGCCAGGTTGCAGTACACTGTCGCTTCTGTCTCCCACCCTGTCACCTTGTGTTTCTTACTTTATCTCTCTCCTGTTACTCTTTGTCCATTTTTTTTCCTTCCTTGTCTTTTTTGTTGTTGTTATAGTCCAATCAGCCTCTGCTGAATTGAAATTCTTCCTTTCTCCACCTTCAGTCTCTCTCTTCCTCTACTCCTGTTCTGTGTGTTGATGATGCCATTCATTGGGACTGGTATTTGTTGATGAAGCCTGTATGTGTTTATATATGCACACCTCCCAGCATGATGACACTTTGCTGATGATGCTAGTGAGTTTGTGCATTTTGCGTGCTCCTATCATTGTGTGTGTTTGTTGTGCGTGCTGCAGCATGATGAGACCAGTCTTTGCTGATGAAGCGTCAGTTTGAGCCTCTGCAGACCTTTGCTCATTACCAGAGGAGAGACAAATGCACTGCTCCAGAGGGAGATAGGAACAGAAGGGAGGGGAGGTATTACAGATAGGCTAAAAGATCCAAAAAGGTATTTACACTAAGGTTACTGTACAATCTGTCAAAGCCTGTTCATTTTTTAAAACTATATTACCTTTAACAGTAGCGTACATTAAACTTAGATTTTAACTCACAATTGGACATATTTTTAAGTGCACCCTTGGCCTTGAAATTTATGGAACTGAACTAAATGTACTTTTTAAAAATTTTACAGACCAACTTCAAACCATTCAATAACAAAGACGTGCACTTCTTAAGCACAGCATCAAACCTGTTAAAACTGCAATCACACTGCAGCTAAGACTGGATTTGACATAACTTGGTTTGCAGTTGTCATAGTAACACATACTTTCCAGCACTACAGTACTACACTACTGTCAGAGCGGGGGGATTATTAGATAAAAAAAATAAAAGAAGAAAAACAAACTGGTGTACAGCTTTTCTTAGAGGGGATAAGTGTAGTGCCACATACCTGAGTGGCTGATCTAAAGGAAGAGCAAAGACAGCAAAACAGGTCTGCAGGTTCAAAAATATTGGGATGTACCACACATGTTTATGTGTGCATGAACTGAAGGGCGGCATAAATGCAATCCAAGTATGTCATTGCAGTGATTTTACTGTTTACCTCCTTTCTAACCAGTCGCAGTTTTTTCGCTTGATTTTTGAACATATTAAAAAAATTAGCCTACCAAATTGTATTTTAATTCAGTGTGATCACTGGAGCTCTACTCTGACAACATCTGGGGCTAATGTTCACATAAAAAAACACATTAATAATTAAACTGGTTAATATTTGCCTATCTTCATTTCAGAAGTGTACTCCAGTACATTAAACCATAACCGTGGGAGTAGCTGCTGAGGTGGGTTCAAAGTAAGCAGAAGCAGGTACGATGTGGTCGAAGGTGGACAACAGAATAAACTGTGCAAGGGATAAAATACAGCAAGACTTGCACACAAAAATAAGCAGGATAAAATAAATGAATAAATCTGTCACGAAAAATGGAACAGTGCCGCTCACTGGTCACAAACACACACAACTGAAAATGTACGTGTTTTTACACAATATTCTCAGAACTTTGAGTCGCCCACAAGTTTTCAACTGCCAAAGCCCATTGAGATACTACTTTTACTGAGCAACCAAGTTGGAGCACACAAACTGCAGCCCTGCCTTATATTGCTTGAACGTTAAGAAAAAAAAAATGTTCTAGCTTTAGTGTCGTGGGAGTTATGTGGCTATACATTTACAAGTAAGACACAAATGTTAGGAAGCAAGTGATGCACCTTTTGTTGCTCTCAGCTCAGAGGTTTGTTACAACAGCAACAAGCTTTGGTTCCAGCTGATACAGAGGTTGATCCTCACACTCCATTATTTCTTCCTTACTTTTCATCTCTCCCTCACTAACTAATGTGTTATTCCAAACTTGCTGACAGAGGCAGCCAGTAATGGCTTTAATACTGTGCACGCTAGAAATTAGGGGAAATGAATTGTGCTGAATCGCATCTTTCTCACCTTTCCTGCTCCCAACTGTTTCTCTTGTGCCATTGTCATGTGTCCTTCCTGCATCATACATTTATTTAATATTTTTTTGCATATGATTGAAGGCAGGAGGAAATTAATTAAACTTTAATAGAATCCACTCCATGGAGGCATGTTGACGCATGCATACACAAAAGCTGATTACTAAATCAAAACTCTTCACGACTGGAGTTCTGGAGAAAGCAGGTGGAAATTGGCAAAAAATTACTGCGTGTGCTTTTGTGGCTTAGTGAAGAGGGAGGTGCACAGAGGGGGGGCTGAGGGCCTTAAAGACTCTAAAGAAGAGAGCAATCAAAACAACAATCACTGTGGCATTGTTGAAAAATAAGGCTTGTTTCATTAACTAGTTGCTACTTAACAAAAGGATGGGGTGAGTGTGTGTGTTTGTGGGTTATTGATGTCACAAGGGATTCTTTCTTGATGGTGGGGTGCGTAGAGATTTTAATCTTATTACTAGCCTTTCCCTGTTTGGCAAATAGCTTTCCAACTGCTTGGGTAATGAACTGTTTGAAAGTGTTTTTCAGTACACACTAACATACATCACTCAGACACATAGATCGACAAACACATACACATACACACTTTTCGTTTTCTGATTCAGCCCCTTCTCCTGTGTGCTGAACAGAGGCCAGATTACCAGCTGTCCTTGTGGCTCAGACACCCAAACAAACACGCTTTTAGGAGCCAGCTGACTGTCAAGCGCCTCTCGTTCTGTGGACAATGTTTAGCTGGCCACAAGAGTAATGACAAACTGAAATGTGGATTTAGTTTCCCCTTTACAGTTATACATTAAAAGCCTAGCATTTCCTAAAGGACTGCATTTTGTCTGTCACATATACAAGCAAAAGCATTATT